GAACCCCCCATCTCGTACTGGTATCTTCTGTGAAGCTGAAGATAAGTGTTATAAATGTGTAGAGAAAGGAGGCTCGATACCGCGGTTGACCGGCACTTCTGAAGCACAGGCACTTCCTTGTTTTGCCGCTTCCTGCTTTCTTTCTTTCTTTCTTACAGTTATATTGGCGGTTGGCAAACACGTGAAAAGTGCATTACCGCCACCAACTGGAGTATGGTGGAACGACGCCCAAAAAAAAAAAATTTCTCAAATCCTGCCAAACAGGTTCCCCTCTCTTAAAAACTGAAATAAGGCCTGATAACTTTTACTTCCCGAGTCCTGCCGCAACAACTCAACCAGATCCAGTTTGATTTGATTTTTAGGTTACTAAGATTTTGAATCAAATGTCTCCTCTCAACCTGATACCTCTGACACTGCAACATGACATGTTCTACAGTTTCCTCCACCCCACAGTAATCACACTTGCCAGTACTATGTTTCCCTATCACAAACAACGTACTATTCCATTCAATATGTGGGATGACATTTCCAGATGTTCCAGGACTAGATGTTTTCCCTGATTTTTCTCAAGGATGCCACTCACAGGCTCACCTGTGTAAATCTGTAGATTTGAGGAATAGCTGTTTTTTGCATCACAAGCTGCCATGATTTATATATCAGATTGGCCTGGATTGCTGGCCATGTATTACCAGAAGGAGCATTTTCCATGGAAATGGACTACGCTGTCACCTCTGAAGATCAGAGCTAAGAGCTTGGAACGGGCGGACTCTTTTTTACATCTTTAATATATTCTGCAGGCTTATTGGGCAGTGACGTAAACAGACAGTAATTGGAGGACTGTTGAAACCTTTATTTACAGGTTTATAGGAAAACCTTTATTTACAGGTTTTCAGCTGAGTGTATACGTGGTGGTCGTGGTCGGTGTGTGTAAGTTCTAGTCGTACTTGTCGTCTTTGGTATCTGCGCCTCATCACTACGGTGTTGGTCTACAATAAAAAAGCACTGAGAGATCAATATCAAAATTCTACAAACTCGTCTAAGCAGCAATTATAGCAATTATAAATGATACTGTTGCTCACCTGCTGCTTCCTGGTTCCGATATTGTGAAATATCGGGGGAAATGATGCCCTGGGGCCCACAAACAGTTTATTGGTTTCTTAGAGGAGGAGGTAAGGTATGAGTAGAAAGTGTGGGAATTTCATTTATCTTTATAGGATTATTGTTGGTTATTGTTTTTAATGTGGGGATGTTGGAAATGTTTGAGAATATTCCAGGTATTTTATAGATATTTGTTATGTAGTATTTTGTTTAATCCTGAGTGTAAACTGCAGAATGCTTTAATCCAACTAACGAATCCCAGAGACTATCAGTGGTCTTGTATTCGGATCTGTACA